ACCCACGGCTCCGGTGGCTCCAGGGCCCTGTTAACAGAGCTGAGGGCACGTTCACAGGTCCTGCTGACACTTCCCGATGTAAATGACTGGGAGCACCTTCCTTTTGAAAAACACCAGCGATATGAAGTACAGTCGTTCCAATGACTGTAATGGGCTGCTGACTCAGCCTCACCCAAGTGATTCAGGGAAGTTGGTGTCACCCAGGGGCTTTCCAGAGATGCTGAGGGAGGTGATGGTTTGCTGATGCAGAGCCAGGCTGGTGTGAGGCCCTGGATTGCTGCTGGTTTTTTTGGGGGGAATGGTATTTTTCACATTCACTCTCTGCAAAGAAAGAGTGGCCATGGAATGGAAGGACCAGCAGCCCTCCCTGTGCCCGTCCCACATCCCTGTTCCCACAGCACTCATGCAAACTTGGGCACATTCAGGGACAGCATTTAAGGCAGAACTACGGGGATTAACCACGCCTGGGAGACCAGTAATGGAATTTATCAGCAGGACACTTTGACCTTCCTATTTAATTGTTCTTTAGGGGTGGAGGTGTTTGTATAAAAATCCCCTCTTGCTTTTTTAAATGCCCAAGAGCAACACAATTCCCATTGTTGAACCCAACTTGTTTTAGGTGCCATCCACAGGAGACTGTATCAGCAGGGCTGGAATCAGAGCAGATAGAGAAGTGATGCTTCTCAGTACAAGCCCTAATTTTTTAATTATGAGCAAGATCTGGAAAGTGTAACAAGGAAGCAGAACTGATATTTAAAGGCACAGCACCAGCACAAAACGACAATGGATTGACTCTGCTCTGGCCCAGATTTCAGGTGCTCTCTCTGATGACACTTTAATCTTGTTTGCTCTCCAGCCCTGCTGCTGCGCTGCAGAATATCCACAGGGAACATTGGTGCCTAAAGCTGCGGTTGCCACACTCACTCCTGCTCCCTTTTCCACACTGCATGTGCTTCCTGTCTCCTGGAGAGACTCTGGATGAGCAGACTGGTAGCAGAGTCCCAAGTCTGGACTGGGATTGGACTGGGAGTGATTGGTTTTGGGAGCTGGGAGCGTGTGTGCAGTGCCAGTGTCCCCTAGGGACTGGAGATGGGATAATCAGTGCTCTCTTCAGCCAGCAGCTTGCTTGTGCTAAGGTCAGGAAATGCTGCCTCCTCCCAGCATTCCCAACCTTTTAGCAGGGGAAGGAGAGCCACGGGTTCATGGGACTCAGTTGCCCACCTCATCCTATCTCCACTGGGATCTGGTCCCATCCTGCCCTCCTCAGCACCCACATGTGATGGGGCTGCTTCAATCTCGTTGCAGATACTTGAAACCAGATGAGGACAAGAAATCAAAGCACAAGACGGCGGTGAAGAAGAAAACACTGAACCCCGAGTTCAACGAGGTGGGTTTGGGGTGGTTGTGGTTCTCAACGAGGGGCTTTTCTCACTGTTCAGACTTAAAAGATAAAAACAACACCTTAGTCACTATGTGGGGGATCGGGGTTGGGTTCCCTGTGGGTGGCAAAGGGCAGCAGCCCGAGGAGGAGGATGGGCAGCCCCAGCTCCTGTTTCATCCTGAGCTGTCTCTGCTCCCCTACAGGAGTTTTGCTATGAGATAAAGCATGGGGACCTGGCAAAAAAGACCTTGGAAGTCACCGTGTGGGACTATGATATCGGCAAGTCAAACGATTTCATAGGTGAGTGGGGCACTCCAGAAGGTCTCTTTTTTATTTATCTTCATTATCTGTGCCTCTTAACTTTTTCATCTGCTGCTCTTCTGCACTTCTCCATCCCCACATTCATTCTTGCTGGGTTTTGGTTCTACTTTTATCCCTCTCCTGCACCTGAGCCTCTTCTCCCACACGGACATCCCCCGTGTAAGGAGCACCCAAGCAGGGAGAAGATACATCTCCCTCTCCCCTTCTGTTTTCAGATCTTTTCCTCTGAACAAAAAACCATGTTTAACAGGGAGGTTTCATTTATCTCTATTGGGTATCTGGGCTTGTTGTGATTTTGCTCCTAGTCTCTGTGATTTATCACTAACAAGTGCCTGGTATCTCTGACAGCTGCTGCGACTGCAGTGAGCCCTTGGCACATGAACAAGCTGCCTGGGACAGGTCCCAGCTCCCAGCCATGAGGGGGGCAGGGAAGATGGGCTACAATTGCCTGTGTGTCACATCAGGTCATGGCACTGGATGCTGTGAGGATGGTGCATGCCCTGGCTCCATCCTGCATCCTCTGGCATCCCCTGGGCATCCCTCGGCATCCCTCGCAGGGCTGACGTTCCCGCCTCACCCCTCCCCGTCTCTGTCTCTCTCCCAAGGTGGAGTGGTGTTAGGAATTAATGCCAAAGGCGAGCGGCTGAAGCACTGGTTCGACTGCCTGAAGAACAAGGACAAGAAGATCGAGCGCTGGCACACGCTAACGAACGAGCTGCCGGGCGCCGTCCTCAGCGACTGAGCTCCACGGGGCCGCTCCCGGGCGGCCACAGCTCCGCCACAGCCTTTGGACTTCTCTCCTTCACGGCTTTGGATACGGGGGATCGCGGCACCGGGGCAGCCGGGAGAGCGGGACACCCCTCGGCACGGCCTGGCTGCGGGGAAACCCCTGCCAAGGGGAGAAGGCGGCGGCGCTTTGCTCCGTCCAGCCCGTCCCAAAACTGCCTCCCTGCACCCTGACACACTCACAGCCCCGCCCACGGGCATGCACGTGCACACACACACATATGTGCACACACACACGTGTGCACACACACACACGTGGACACCTCACGCCTGCATGCTCTGCAGTCTGGCTCCTCTCCCAATCCTGGCTGTACTGAGTTACCTTCTCGCTGCCTTGCAATTCAAGTGGCAACAATGAATGCGTCCGTCTGCGTCCGTGTGTCCAGCATCGGCAAAAGGCGTCACTTAAAATCTGGAACTGTTTCCTCAAGGCAAAACTGTGCCATATCCCTGGTGGTTTGTCAAGTCTCTGTGGTTTGGGCCTAAACAGTCTTTTACGCATTTAAATCTCCTCTGTTGGAATGATTGTGTCCCTGGTAACCTGGAAAGAGTGTTTGCTTTTCCTCCAGGAGTGTTGTGCTCGTCCTCTCCGATAACTCATGTGAAGTCAGCACAGCTGTGCAGACCACGGTTTTCCTCTTGGGATTGGGCAGCTTCACGTTTGGGAGGCAAAAAAAAAGGCTCCATGAAGCCCCTGGCTGTTCCTGCTTCCCAGGATCAGTAGCCACCACTCTCCTGATGAAACCACGCCTTCCTGCCCAGAGCCACGCAGCAGCACAGCTATTTTTCCAGCAAAGCCAGTTTTCAGGCTAAATTTTTTCTATCATTTCTCCCTTATTCATCCTTTTCCAATTCATGCCATTAAATAAAACCCAGTGAAGATGCAGAGCCTCGGGGCTGAGCTGGAATGTTGTTTGTGGAGATGCTTGGCTCTGGCACAGCTATCAGGTTGGCCCGTTTTCTGCCTCAAACAGCATCCAAACCAAACTTCTGTGTATGGCACAGTAATAATATAATAATATTATGATAATAATAATAATAATAATCCCAGATCTCATTCTCTGTGATCTACCTTGGCCTGTCTCTGCATCCTCATCCCACTGGACATCCAGAAGGATGAGCTAAAACTTTCTATGAAATGCTGCAACGTTTCCCAAAATTTTTGAAGCCTTTAAACCATCATTTGTTAGGAAGAGCTGCTCTTTCCCCACAGATCTCAATTACCTTCAGCTTCCGAGCCCTGTGCATGCACATGAGCGTGTTGCTGACTTCTTTTTTTTCTTGGAAAACAATGGGATCTCTGGAAATCTACGTTTACTTTTCAAAGTGATGATCGTGTTACACCTCGTTTGATATGGGGGGGAGGGGATAAAAAAACCAAGGTTCATAGGGGTTTTTTTAATAACTTAATATTTGTAATGCATTCTACAGATATGCATGGATTTTATTTGAATGCTGGCAGCGTGTCAAGTCGGATGTTCCCAGTAATCCTTTCTGGTCCAACACCTTAAAACCTGGTTTGGGTCTGAGCTTCCAGGAAAGCTCCAGGAGCACCAGGTTGGCTGTGCCTCCCTTTTTCTTGCAAAATTCCTTTCACGCCATCATTCGTTCTGGCATATCTTGCTATGAAACTGGTTTATGCCTGAGGTGGAGTAGGACATGTGTGTGTGGGTTCCTTCACTTTGTATCCCAGTCTTTTCTAAGCGGCCACCCCGTCCGTCCGTCCGTCCCAGCTGCATGCAGAGTTGGTGGTTGTCATGCCAGGCCTCGTGAAATGTTTGATACCAATGTTTTGCTACCATGTGAAGGCTGCAGAAACCGTCCTTACCTGCATCCTGAAAGACTTTTGTATTTCAGTATTACCTATCCGTGTACTTTTTGTCGGATTTGTTAATATTTATAACGAGAACCGAAAATAAAAAGGTTAAAAAAAAAAAAAAAAAAGCTGATGCTGGTGGTGCAGCTTTTGAATTTGGGGTCTGGCAAGGATTTGGGGAGCGGGAGATGGTTTTAAACTAGAGCTTTGGGGGCTGCTTGGCCCAATGTAGTATATATACACTACGTGTATAAATGTATATATAAAAATAAATAAATAAATTAATAAATAAATACAGAGAGAGAAAGAAAATACATGTATGGCCCAATGTAGTATATATATAGTACATGTATATTTTTATATATTTGTGTATATATATGAATATAGTAGCCTGCAGCCCAGCAATTCCCCCAGAGCACAGGGAATGACATCCCAAGTGCCGGAGCTGGGCAGGGGTCACTCCTACAGGAAAAGACAGCTGGAAAGCACAAGGAAAGAAATATTTACTCAATTAAATGATGCTCTGTTCAGTCATCAGATTTTTGTTTAAGTCAGTCTTTATCCCCTTGGGAATAAAGAGCTGATTATAAACGGGGGGGCAGGGGCACAGACCCTGCAGATTAAAATAAAGCTTAAGGCATTTGAATGCAAAGCTGCTCTGGGGCACGTCAGACCCTCCGGCTCTATAAAGAGGCTTTGCTTTTTGGGGAGGATCACCTGCACCAGGTGGAGCCCCAGAAGACCCATGTACTCCCCCGACAGCTCGCAGGAGCCCCCAAATAACGGGACCCCAGGGCCCTTTGATGGCCCCCAGTGGCCCCACCAGGCCCCACGGGCCGTGTACCTGTCGGTGGCCGTGCTGATGGGCCTCGTCGTGGCCTCTGCCTCGGTGGTGAACGGCTTGGTCATCGTGGTTTCCATCAGGTACAAGAAGCTCCGGTCCCCCCTGAACTACATCCTGGTGAACTTGGCCGTGGCCGACCTGCTGGTGACGCTCTGCGGCAGCTCCGTCAGCCTCTCCAACAACATCAGCGGCTTCTTCGTGTTTGGCAAACGCCTGTGCGAGCTGGAGGGCTTCATGGTCTCCCTCACAGGTAAGGGCATGGGCCTCGAGACCTGCCTTGGTCTCTGGCTGGTGCTTTTGTCTTTAGCAAAATGGCTTTGGGAATGTTTCACCAGCTTTGTCATCTCCTAAAGTCAGTGTTTTCATGTGGTAAAACTCGTGTCCTTCAGCTATTCTTCAGCACAGGGAAGGGTCAGGTAGATGGTTGGCTGTGCCAGGATCTGTCTTGGTCCTCACAGAGAGGGAAATGTCACTTGGGCACATGAGGAATCTTTGCTTGGTGTGCTTTTTGTGGGTGCTGGTGGCTGTGTCAGCACACCTGTGGGTGAGGGTGCGCCAGGGACTGCACAAAACCCTTTGTCAAGGGCACTCCTGTGGCGAAACTGTGATTGCAACCACAAGGCATCACAGACACCCACTGCCAACTTCATCTTTAAGAGCCAAATACCCTCACAGCTCTCCCTGCTGTAAGAAAAACATCCAAATACTTGTTAAAACCATATTTACTTGGACAGCTTTAGATCGTCATCTACCACATGCTGGCATGGGCAGCAGAGCCTGTCCTTCTCCCCCCAGGCATCGTGGGGCTGTGGTCCCTGGCCATCCTGGCCCTTGAGAGGTATGTTGTGGTCTGCAGACCCCTGGGAGACTTTCGGTTCAAGCACCGACACGCCGTGAGTGGCTGTGCCTTCACCTGGAGCTGGTCACTGCTCTGGACAACCCCACCACTCATGGGCTGGAGCAGCTACGTGCCTGAAGGTAGGGGAGGGGTGCATCAGACTCCACTGGGTCATCTTGCATATGCTTTTGAAGCACAGAGTAGCTGGAGAGTGTCTGTGCTGGAATTTAAAGTGTTGGTATCTCCTGCTGCTCAATAATCCTCCCTGGGAGGTTGTTCTTTGGAAGTTGCCTGCTGCAGGACCTGCTCTGGCTGCTGGAGCACTCAGAGCAGCAGCCAGCATGCAGCCAGCCAAAACCTGCTTCTGTAGGGGCTGATCTCCAGGAAAAGTGAGAGGTGCTTGGGTGGCATTGCTAAGCAGGGTCAGCGCTGGCTGTTTTGGTACTGAGCCCTGATCCAAGCCTGTCGTTGGTTTAGCCTTGTTTCCAAACTTTGTTCCAGGTCTGAGAACCTCCTGTGGGCCCAACTGGTACACGGGCGGCAGCAACAACAACAGCTACATCCTGGCCTTGTTTGTCACCTGCTTTGTGATGCCCCTCAGCCTGATCCTCTTCTCCTACGCCAACCTGCTGATGACCCTGCGAGCGGTAAGCACGGCAGGCACAGGTGAGCTCACGGCTTTCTGCTCACAAAGCAGGTTTTTGTGACGCTCAGTGGAGCTGACAGCTCCTGGCACTGACATCGGGGCACCCAAGGGATGGAAATGCTGCTGCAAGTTGCTAACAGGCTTCTCTCTCCCTTCCAAACCCCCCGCAGGCTGCGGCGCAGCAGCAGGAGTCGGACACGACGCAGCAGGCGGAGCGGGAGGTGACCCGGATGGTGGTGGCGATGGTGATGGCCTTTCTCATCTGCTGGCTGCCCTACAGCACCTTTGCACTGGTGGTGGCCACCCACAAAGACATCACCATCCAGCCAGCTCTGGCATCTCTGCCCTCCTACTTCTCCAAGACCGCCACAGTTTACAATCCAATCATTTACGTCTTCATGAACAAACAGGTGAGAAAGAGAGAGAGGAGTCAGCCAACAAACCACAGCTTCACTGGGGCTTCTGGAGAACAACTAAATGGGCTCATAAAACATGGAGGAACCTTGTATCCTATCTGGGAGCATAGTCACAGGCTCAATCCCGGATAAGCAGCGAGGTTTTGGGGAATAAATGGAAAGGGAGGGAGCAGCCTGCGAGCCCAAACAAGAGCTCATTTTCCGCTTCCATGATTTTATGGGGTCAGGCAACTTAATGTTAGATCACAAACGGCTCATTGAAGACACAGAACAAACAGAATGAAACTTTTATTGTCAATAAACTGCAAAGAGTGGGGCTGGGAATAGAGATCTCACCCAAAATATAACCAGCATCCCACCCCTCAGAGGTGACACCAGAATTCTGCTGTCACATGTAACCCACCCCTCCCCTGCCCAGTTTCAGAGCTGCCTGCTGCAAATGGTGTGCTGTGGTTACCAGCCCCGGGGGACTGGGAAAACCTCTCCGGCTGCCCCCCGTCCCCGCCCAGGCGTCGCTGCAGAGGGGCTGCAGAATAAGGTGATGCCGTCTCACCCCGTCTGAGCGCTGCCAGATCCTGCCTGCCCAGCACCAGCGCCAGCTCCAGGCTCTGCCTGTCCCACCCAGCCTGGTACAGCACGGGCACAGAGCAGGCTCGGTGCTGGACGTGAGGGGGGGCTCTCAGAGGCTGAAGTCCCCAGCAGTCCACAGGGTTCTCCAAAGAAAGCCATGAGTGTCTTCCCGTGGGAGAGGAGCCACCAGTCGTGGGATAAACCGCAGACTTTTATTTCACTCTCCTAAGGACACCCCCTCCCTTCCAGCCCCTCACCTCGGGCAATTGTGAGCCTTTCAAGAACAAAAAAAAAAAAAAAAACAACCCAAAAAACCCAAAAACAAAAACAAAAAAAACCCCACAAACAAACAAACAAAAAAACCCCAACAAAACAAAATAAAATAAAGAGCAGTATTTCTTCCTCGGTGTAAAACATCCCAAGTTGCTGTTTGGCCCAGACGGTCTGGCTGTGATGCCACATCCCAAGGGGTCTGAGGGCAGAGCTGCACATTCCCCACCCTCAGACAGAACAAGTGCTGTTTGCGCTGCCCGAGCTTGCTGTGAAGTTCAAGGTCATGCTGGAAATCTGGCATAAATCCAGCAGGCACGTTTAAGTGCAGACTGTGTTAATAAACATTAATGAACACTAACCAGTTCAGAGGCATCTGTTTTACCGGCTGGTAAGAGGGTTGGACAGAAAACACATCCCCTCCTGGCATGTCTCTTGTGGCAAGTGCCACATACACCATCATAACAGAGACCAAGAAAAAAACCCAGTTCAGAATTACAAAAGTATTTTTTTTTAATATATTTAAGGCAATAAGGAAAGGTCTTAAATCCACTGATTTCACCCAGTGAGGGTGAAAACAGGGTTGTAACAGGGCCCCTGAGGTCAAGGCACAACAGAGGCACCGCTGCCCATTAACAGCAAACAAAAGATGCCAAAGGCTGCAAGAGTAAAATAAAAGCCAAAACACCTGCGTGGGGCTCTGCAGCTTTACACCTGATCTTGAATGTGTTTATCTAGACAATCACACTTCTGGTTTGCCAGGCAGATTGTGATTTAGGAGCCCAGGGGAAAAAGCTTCTAAAGACAATTTTGCAGATAGCAAGTCTCTGAATCTCATTTTTACCCAATTACTCTATTTAAAAAAAAAAAACCTGTCTGCCTTCAGAGTTAGTTGTCTTTCAGATTTTTGCTCCTGAACACTTGAATTGCTTTCAAAATGAGATGATCCACAGTCACAGGATTCCAAGGCTCTCCCCTCCGCGGTTCTATAATCGCGCACAGGGATGAGCCCCAAACACGTTCCCTCCTCCTCCCACAGCTTCTGCCGATGCAGCAAAGCCGTGAAGGAGTTAGAGGGAAGCAACGCTCCAAGTTGTTCATCACCTCACTAAATTGCCTCACTAACATGCAGCCCACAGCCCGCCGCAGACGGGCAGACCAGCAATTTGCACTGCCATGGATGATGAGGATGAGATGTGGGAGACTGAGGGTTTTTTTTGCCTCCAGCTGAGATTCTCTGCTCCAAACCAAGAACAGAACAAAAATCCCCAAACCAGACTGGTATGAAGGAAATAAGCTGGACGGGGCTTGCAGCAACCTGGTCTAGTGGAAGGTGTCCCTGCCCATGGCAGGGGGTTGGGACTAAATGATCTTTATGGTCCCTTTCAACCCAAACCATTCCATGACTCTATGACCTGCCAGGGCAGGGGGACAGGACATTCATCCTCATCCCCACCTCTGTGTCTCAACCTCCCTCTCTCCACTTTGCTTTCCTACGTGAAGAACAGCTCAGCTCGCATGTGAGCGGCTCAGAGAGGAATTAGAACAGCTCAATATCACTGTTTTAATTTAATTAATTGGCCTTTCATTCTCTGGGAAGCTGAAAAGCAGCATTAGATGGGCCCCTCTGATCTTCTCTGCTGTCTTGCACTGGTCCTTGTTTAATTGTTTCTGTTAATTACAGCTTTTGTGCCCATGCTTTTTGTGATCTGGATGATTTACAGTCATGCTAAACTTAAATCTGGAAAGTACAAGGGGCCGAAAAACTGAAATCTGTGTTGTGTTCTGGCCTCGATAAGGAGAGCAGACAGGCTATGGGGCTACTTGAAAGGCTCCCTACCAACAGAAATAAAAATTCTCCACATTAAGATTAAAAAAAAGATAGGGAAATGGTTCACAGCCTGCTCACCATTTGGTCCGACAGATAAAATAGAACGAGAAATCCAAGGAGCTGAGGAGATTTCACATGTTGCAGACCAAAGTGATACATAATTATGTGCACGCAAAAACTCACGTGTGCCCCCCTCCACCACCCTGCTGCAGCCCTACGGGCTTTAATTACTTCTTATTTAATTGAGCAAGTCTGAAACACAACAAAACGTTGCCAAAGCGAGAGGGGATGACCCTCAGCTATGAGTCACGAGCCACCAAGGGCAGAATCACACAACAAATTTGCAGTTTCACTTTTGCATGGAGTCGTTTCCCTCTGTTCCTCCAGCGTAACACAAGGCTCTGCTCGGCCCCAGGGCCATGTGGAGCAGGATCTTGTTACAGCAGCTTCTATCAGGAATATAAAGTTCTTCTGCCTGCAGCACACAGAGCTCCCAAACAGAGAAACCGGTTGGTATGAGCCCGGGTTAGAAAATATTCAACATGTGTTTAATATTTTTCTATTTCTATTTATATTTAAATTTCATATTAGTATTTATATTTTGCAGTTTATATTAAAATTATATTTAAATATTTCTATATTTAGCTTTAAACCTTTGCTTCATATTTATATTTTAAATATTTCTAGATTTAGCTTTAAATCTTTGCTTCATATTTATATGTAAATATTTCTAGATTTAGCTTTAAACCTTTGCTTAATACTCTTCTACTTAGATTTTAATTTCAGATTTGTGTTTATATTTCATATTTTACTTACATTAAAATTTATATTTAAATGTTTTATATATTTATATTTAAACCTTTGCTTAGCATTTTTGATGTGATGCACAGGGGTGAGCCCCATTCCCAGGCACTGGCCCTGCTGTTATCTGGAGGTGCAGAATTCCAATCCCAGCCTCCTTGCTGCTGGCACTTCTGGTCCAGCTCTGTCACTACCACAACATGATAAATGGATGAAAGATTTCTATTTTCTCTTGATCTTTTCTGAAGAAAGCTCCCCCACCTCTGCCAGTCTGCAGCACCTTCCCTGGAGCAGCTCCATCAGTACCTGGTTGTGTCATGGTCTGATGATGGGAAACATCACTAATAACAAGTAAAAAACCCAATAAAACCCAAAAAAGAACCTCCAAACCAAAAAAAAAAAAAAAAGAACCACATGGCAGCACAATAACTTGGAAACTTTTATTAGTGTTGTTAAACCAAATTAACAGTTACAGATGGGGAGCATTTCTTTACAAAAACAGGAGCGAAGAGGCAAAGGTGGCACACCCAGATGTACAAAACCAGCTAAAATCCCTGTGTGTGTTAGACAGGGAACAGGACAATCCTCCCTCCTGCATGTGAACAGAATTTATCACATGTGAAGTCATATTTATCAAATATGAAGTTGCTGTGCCCATCAATATCTTAATCCAAAGCTCAATTATGTCCATTTTTTTTATCCATCCCACCAAAAACGTGGTTGAATTAAACAACAGGTATCTTCATGACACTACCCACATTTTCTCATATTCCTGTCTAATGCTGGCAGGGAACATATTGCTGCACTTGCAATCTCTGGAGAACACTGCTTTTTTCCTCATTAGCTTTTTGCACAGCAATTAATCCCCTTAATCAGTCAAATCAGTTCAACACTAGATCACAAAAGCACTAAGTAAAGAGAAAACAAGAAATTACCTTGTTAAATTTAATGAGCAAGGAAAAACACACACTACATGGGCTGTAACAGTGCTCCACACTCCAGCATGGAAAAATTCCAGAGCCTGAGCAGCACCAGCAGCCCACAGGATTCCAATCATTCTGTTTGCAACACCAAAAACTGCATAATGCAACAAAATCATTGTGCTGATGAAAATGGGCACGTGCAGGAGAAAAACCACCACGTAGCAGGTTCACAAGGATGTGATATCGAGAAAACACTTCAGTTCTGCAATATTGGTACTGCTTGTGATATTGATATTGATACTGCAGTGATGGCATAAAACCAGTACAAACAGTATTATAACATAGAACATCGGATTTTCTTCTGTACTTGCTGCTGCAGTTAAAAGAAGTCTGGGCCTTACAATTGTTTATGTGGCAAAAAAACCCCACAATTCAGAGGCTGTACAAACAGCAGTAAGCAGATGATAGGTTACAACTTATTCATTATCCATTTTAATCACAGAGAGAGCTCTCATCCAAAACAATTATCCTGTATGGGGAAAAAACCAAGAAATAAAAAAAAAAGGTTACACAGTTGTTTTTTTTTTCTTATATCAAACTACAGGTTGAAGGGAATGGTGCCTCTCTCACCTGGAAAACAGGAATGTATCTCATCCAGCCAGAGAACAGACAAATTCCTACCAAAAAGCCAGTTTAACTCACAGAGAGTCTCACCTGAAGGGCGAAGCTGAAGACAGCTGCTGCTGCTGCAAGTGGGATGTCTGATCTTTGGGGTGTTTGTCTAAAAAAACACATGTAAACTGAGCTCAGAACCAAGAGGAACATGCACAACCACAACAGTTCAGAGACAAGTCAGCACACAGCAGCACACCAATTAAGTGCTACAGATCTCTCTGCTTTGTCCATGAAGTCACATTTAGTAACCAGAGCCCACCCCCAGCTCTGCTGCTCCTGGGGCATCACACAGGACCCTCCCAGGGATCAGAAATCAATCCTGTTTCCCAAACCTGAAGCCCAATCCCTGCCAGCCCAGGTCTAGGGGCCTGACAGAAAACAGGGGCGTATCTGCTAATGCTGTGCAAACAATGAGCACAACGATGTTACCCTTGGATGTTACTTCTACATTTAAAAAAACTACCATCAACATTTCCAAAAATAACCAGTGATTTGGGACAAACTCTGGGTGCATCCAGCAGCTTTACAGACAAAGAGCACCTGCTGAAGTCCCTGCACAGCTTTCTGGTGCTCTGCC